GGGAAACCGAAGCACCCGGAGGAAACCCATGCGCGAGGAGGACATGAACACTACACACAGAAACGCCAACTAACCCAGCTGAGGCTCGAACCAGCCACCTTCTTGCTGTCGCCTCGACAGCACTACCTACTGTGCCACCCAACAGGTGAATTGGGTAGGCTAAATTGTCCATAGTGTATGAGTGTGAATGAATGTGTGTGATTTCCCAGAGGTGGGTTGCAGTTGGAAGGACATCGGCTGCGTAAAAAAACATGCTGGATAAGTTGGCGGTTCAGCACTAATACATGCATTCACTGATTCAGAGGTTTCATAGGAGGAGCAACGATAGACACACAGCTTTAATGCAAATAAAGTGAATACAGACATTTTTATGTTTAATATTTTACATTTATATAAGCCAAAATAAAGCAAACAGCTCTTGCAATTATATCACATTTGAGATACAAATGTATCTCTTTTACTTTTCATTGAAAGATTACAGGAGAAATATGGGAAAATACTTAAATGATAGGATAGCGACGCAGTGGCACAGTGGGTAGAATGGTCGCCTCACAGTAAGAAGGTCGCTGGTTCGAGCCTCGGCTGAGTCAATAGGAATTTCTGTGTGGAATTTTTATGTTCTCCATGTGTTTGCCTGGGTTTTGTTTGGTTTCCCCCACAAGTCCAAAGAAATCTGGCACAGGCAAATTGGGTATGCTAAAATTGACCAAAGTGTATGAGTGTGTGTGCGTGTGTCTGTGTGAATGAGTGTGTATGGATGTTTCCCAGTGATGGGTTGTGGTTGGAAGGGCAACCGCTGCGTAAAATATATGCTGGGTGAGTTGGTGGTTATCAAAAACCGCAAAAACAGGAGGGTTGACAGGAATGTTATCAATTATCATTCGGATAAAGCAAAATAATCATCTTTATCATAACATTACCCCTGTCTTTGTCTCGTTTTTCCATTTCTTTTCTTTTTTTCCCTCCCCAGCTCACCAGACAGTTTGGGACATTTTGACATGTTGAGCTTGTTAACTTATAAAAAAATGACCAATATGTAGCAGGTAAAGTCTAATTATTCAAAAAAGGGGGTGCTTAGCTTATATTATATTATTGCTACTACTACTTCTACTACTTAGTAGGCTTTGCTATGCAGTTAAATTAATGTGAGCTCATTCTTTGCTCGAGTCACAATACCAACTAGTTTAAAGAATAGGGAAAGTTCCACTTTTATTTTTCCTACATTTCTGGCTAGCCCTGCCTGGCCAAGTGAGACTTACCAGGCTTTCTTGTATGTGTGCTTTGAGGTCTCTTGGGGGGAAGGAGTGGTGCATGAAATCTGGCCAGATTGCAAAGCTGAATTAAAAAGTCTACAGCTGGTCCTTGGTCATGCCATGTATATGTTCTGAATAGAATTGGAAAAAGCATGTGCGTCCAAGATCCAATGTTTTTATTTCTGTAGGTGCAATTCATGTCATTGAATTAAATCATTTAAAGTAAATCTGATTGCAGGTGGTTGTAGAGATAATGTTAAGTCTATACATTTATAACAAAGGGAATACAAAAATTCAAGATAACTTTGAAAAAGAAAAACAGCACCCAGAACAAGGACAATTAACTCTTTCCCTGCCATTGCTGAGTTTTTATTGCAATCTGTGTTTTAGGTATATTATGGTAGGAGAATATACAACGGTATATATCCGAGAATATTTATCCGATCGGTCCCAAAGAGATTCTTGCAAACTGCCCGGTGCGTCAGGAGGGGAAAGCAGTACTACACCAACACTGTTTACAGCAGAAGTGGGGAGCTGTTGACCTTGTCTGGGCATGTTGTCGGACAGTGGAAGGAATACTTTGAGGATCTTCTTAACCCTAACATGTCTTATATTGAGGAAGCAGAGACTGGGGATACAGGGGTGGACGATTCATCCTGTGTATCTTAGGTCTCTGGATATTGTAGGGCTGTCTTGGCTGACACGCCTCTACAATATTGCATGGAGGTCGGGGACAGTACATCTGTCTATGCCAGGGTACAGGAGAGGAGGATCCGGCCGATGGTTGAACTTAAGATACAAGAGGAACAATGTGGTTTTGTGGTGCATTGGACCAGGTCTATACCCTCACCAGTGTGTTTAAGGGTTGATGGGAGAATGCCCAACCACTCCTTGTGTTTTGTGGACTTAGAGAAGGCATTCAATCGTGTCCCTCATGGCATTCTGTGGATGGTGCATTGGGAGTATAGGGTCAGAGGTGCTCTGTTAAGGGCTGTCCCTGTATGAAGAGAGTAGGAGTTTGGTTCGCATTGCCGGCAATAAGTCTAACTCGTTTCCAGTGCACGTTGGCCTCCAGCAGGGCTGCCCTTTGTCACCAATTCTGTTCATAATTTTAATGGACAGAATTTCAAAGCGCAGCCTTGGGCTGGAGGGGGTCCGGTTCGGTTTCATCTGTTATTCGTAGATGATGTTGTTCTGTTAGCTTCATGGAACATGGAACTGCTGCATGCAATGGGGCAGTTTGCTGCTTAGTTTATGCGGCTGGAATGAGAATCTGCACCTCCAAGTTTGAGGCCATGGTGCTCCGTTGGAAGGTGGTTTGCCATCTCCAGGTTGGAGGAAAGTCTTTACCTCAGGTGGAGTAGTTCAAGTATCTTAGGGTTTTGTTCACAAGTGAGGAAAGGTTGGAACGTGAGATTGGTGCAGCGGCAGCAGTAATGTGGTCCGTGTATCGGTCTATTGTGGTAAAGAAGGAGCTAATCCAAAAGGCAAAGCTCTTGATTTACCAGTCAATCTACGTTCCTACTCTCACCTATGGTCGTGAGCTTAGGGTCATAACCAAAAGGACAAGATCTAGGATACAATCAGCTGAAATGAGTTTCCTCCGCAGGGTGACAGGGTGCACCCTTATAAACAGGGTGAGCAGCCCTGTCACCCAGGAGGAGTTTGGAGTAGAGCAGCTTCTCCTCCATATTGAGTTAAGTCAGCTGAGGTGGCTCCGGCATCTATTTCGATTGCCTCCTTGACGCCTACCTAGGGAGGTGTTTAATTCATGTCTCACCCGTAGGTGGCCTTGGGAAAGATGCAGGATATGCTGAAGAGACTATGTCTCTCGGCTAGAATGAGATCAAGGGAGCTCCCCCGGAGAAGCATGGAAAAAGTGTCTGGGGAGAGGGAAGTCTGGGGTTCCCTCATAAGACTGCTGCCCCTGTGACGTGGCCCATGAAAATGGATGAAATAAGATGGTAGAAGAAGCCCTTAAGTATGTCCTGAGTGAGGTATGTGATGTCACATGCTCCGGAGAATGAAATCTGATAAAGAGCATGGATAAAAAGGATAGTAATACAACCTTGCTTTGGCTTAATCCCTAACGTTATTATACCAGAGCTAACCACATTAAAATGATCCACATTCAATGAAGGATAGAAATTTGTTTAACACACAAACACAAGTGCATGTACATACGTGTGCATGCATACGTACACATACACAGTGTGTGTGTACAGTATGGATGTGTGAATTAATAAATGTAATTTTTTTTGTAAAAAAAGTGAATTTTTTTCATGAAAACTACATATATATATATATATATATATATATATATATATATATATATATATATATATATATATATATATATATATATATATATATATATATATATATATATATATATATGGCACTTCCGTGGCGCAGTAGATAGTGCTGTCCCCTCACAGCAAGAAGGTCGATGATTTGAGCCTCGGCTGGGTTTGTTGGGGTTTCTGCGTGGAGTTTGCATGTTCTCCCCGAGTTCATGTGGGTTTTCTCCGGGTGCTCCAGTTTCCCCCACAGTCCAAAGACATGCGGTACAGGTGAATTGGTGTATGGATGTATCCGCTGTGTAAGTCATATGCTGGATGAGTTGGCGGTTCATTTTGCTGTGGCAACCCCAGATTAATAAAGGGACTAAGCCGAAAAGAAAATGATTGACTGAATATATATATATATATATATATATATATATATATATATATATATATATATATATATATAATATATAGGTGGGCATAGATATATATTTTTTTAATCTAGATTAATCTAGGTTAAAATGGCTCATTTGAATTCTAAGGAAGAAAATGTCTTTGAGAGCGGGTTTCTCAAGCCAGGTGCCGCATTAGACCAGGGGCTCATCTCCTGTTTTTCAAATGCATCATAAACTGCTTGAAAAACTGTTCTATTGCGATAATTGGTGATGAAAATAAATTATGTTCAATAAGATATTCTTGTGTTTACTAACTGTTTATTCAGTTAAACGTGAATTTTGAACTGTAGGCCTGAATAAGCTCGAAACAGCAGTTTTTGATTACCTTCTGACTGAAGTCATCCATGAACTAAACAGAAATTGAATGAAGACATGGAGTATGCATATATTAGTGGAATTATTGAAGTAAACACCGCAATCAAACTATCACTGTCATGAAGGACTTTTCTCCATATTTTCCGACAAGATCCAGACACAAGGCTGTTAGTAAAGGACCCCACTAAAACACACATCGTGAAATGCGAACGTTTTTTTTTTTTCTTTTAATTTGGCGTGCGTTATTAAATTCCATAACACTCTCACCAGTCCTCACTCCTTAGTTGCATCTACCTCAGTTTGTCATGGCGGCATGAATGAAATGTTCATGAGGTAAAGTGAAACTGCCAAACTGCAGTTAAAGTCAGGCATCCTGGTGATTTGATTCAGACGGGCACTTTTTTGTCAGATGGCTCACCGATCAGGTATACATCTATGCTAAAAAATCAAGGTGAAAGTCATCATAGCTTGTGTAGAATAGACCCAGCTCCCAACCCAACTTTGAGAAAAGATTAACGGCGATATTTTTTATCGCATGATAAGAGTCTCGCGTTAACGCAGCACATTAACACCAATAACCACCCACCATATATATCAATAATTTTCCTAGCCGAAAATATTCGGAGAGCTGTCAAGCTTTAGTGAAAATCATCAAAATGCAGGCAAAAATTTAAAAAATATTGGCAGGGAAAAGTGAATTAGTAAGGTTTAATAAAAACTATAATTATTTACAAGTACCATTTTACAGACATTTGCATCAAACATGACTGATCAATTATGTGCATAGCAAGCTATTTGTCAAAAATTGCAAATAATCACACAAATTTTAAGACTCAGACAATTTAAAATAGCATGCAGCAAATATTTTTACTATTTTTTCATTATATGTTTTTTATCATTTTTCTCTGGCTTCAGTAATACAATATAACATTTAGGAAAAAATATACATAGCAAGAGACCAAAGGCAGAAGCTAGAATAGCAAAGACATGGACAGCAACCATATACTTTCCACTTGAGCTCAGGTAGACTGGAATGAAGGTTATCCACACAGCAAAAAATATGAGCATGCTGAATGTGATAAATTTAGCCTCATTAAAGTTGTCTGGTAACTTTCTAGCCAAAAATGCCATTAAAAAACACAAGCAAGCAAGAAGGCCAACGTATCCCAGCACACACCAAAATCCAATTTCAGATCCCACAGAACATTCAACAATTATAGTTTCACTCATGAACTTGCTGTTGTATGAAGCAAGAGGGGGCTTAGTTGTTAACCATATGATGCAAATAAGTGCTTGCACACATGTGCACAGGATAACACTTGATCTTTGTTTAACAGGACCAAACCACTTCATGACATTATTGCCAGGGATGGTGGCCCTGAAAGCCATTAAAACGACCACAGTTTTTGCCAAGATGCATGAAATACAGAGTGTAAAGCTGATTCCAAAAGCTGGATAGCGAATTTGGCATAGCCAATCAGTTGGCTTCCCTAAAAATGTTAGGCCAATCAAAAAACAAGCACAGAGGAACAACAGAAGAAGGAAACTTAACTCTATATTGTTTCCACGTACGACTGGAGTCTTCCTATACATTACAAACACACAGAGCACTGCTAATGCTGCACAGGCCCCGAATGCTGAAAATACCCAAAGAATTATTCCCAAGGGCTCCTGAAAGGACAAAAACTCTAAAGTTTTGGGGATGCACTGGTCTTGGGATTGGTTAGGCCACGTGTCCTCGGAACATGTCAGGCATTCAATTGAGTCTGTGGAAACATTGGAGAAAATTGGACCATAAAATAGCAATTTTCCTTTCTTCTCAGAATGCCATTAAGAGAGAAGCTCTCTGGAAAATCACACCTGTATGATTACTGATCTCTCCTTCAGCACATGATATACAGTCAAAGCAGCAGACTGGCTTTCCTTTTTGCCTGGCCTTCCTGGACCCTGGCAGACAGCTTTTACTGCACAATGATTCTGGTGCCTAATGACCACAGCACAATAAGAAAACTTTGAACTCTTTGAGAGTCCATTTCAAGTCAATTACTTGCAAATAGACATATATTATTATATATTACTCTGCAAAAAAATAAAAATTGTGCTCAAAAAGAAAGAGTAACCCCCCCCCCCCAATCTGTCAGTGAAAATATAAAATAATAATTCAAAAGTGTATAAGTTTACTAAAAATGAAATTAACAGTGCTTTTCCATTTAAAATAAGAATGTTCCATTGTTCTTAGTTTATTCATAAAGATTAAGTGCAGTTGAAGAAAAAGTAAAAACAGCCAGCAATATCTAGTGATGCGTGGGATGGCACACACCTTCTCTGCTCTGTGCCACATAATTAGTGACTCATCTATGACTAGGTCCTTGTCATCTTCAAGGGAGGCATCATAGAATCCCACCCTGACAAGTTGAAGGGAGCTATCGGATCCTCTTTGCCAGTTCATAAGGTCATAAGATGCAATAGGATCACCATTCTCATCAAATCTGATCTCTTCCCCTAAGGTTGTGAAATTAGTTTGTTTCATGTAGTACAGGAGCTTAGGTGAAGTTTGCAAGAACACATAATGCAAAGTAAAGAAAACACATAAGAAAATTGTAACACTTTAATACTTGTATAATCTTTGAGAAATAACTATCAAAACATAATAACAGAAAATTCATTTAAAATAATAAAATACACACCTGCCATGGCTGAATTTGAAACAGACTCCCACATGTCCCATTCTGGAATGGGCCCTTTCCTGGAACACATGTGCTCATGTCATGCAGTGCATGTGCTATGAGATACACAGCTTTGTAAACATTGTAGGAGACTCTGAGTTGTGACACATCTGAATAAGTGGTGTACACATCATCCAGACTTTCACTACCATTACAGGCTGGCCAGTTTTGTGCCTGTTCTCCATGTGCATGAGTGTTTAAGGAACCATTCAGTCGACAACGAAAAGTCTCTTCCCAAAACTCAGAGAGGAAATGGGAGGTCTGAGGTCTTATTTCTTTAAGATAACTGCCAAGATGTGGGATATCAGCTCTATGTATGGCAAAACCCAATGTACCCTTTAGCAGATCACCAAATTCCTCCCAGAGGGATTTCGATGTGGCCCAAGCCTCACTGGCAATCCACTGCAGATGTGTGACATTTTGCCGTCTGCATTCTTTTAGAATACCATAAAGATAAGAGTCTACAGAGAAGCTTATTATGACTGTGGCAGAAGAAGATTTCAACATCCTCACAAGTTCTTCTGCTGAATCTTGATTTAGTGCAACAGGATAAAGTTGGACATAAGCAAGACAAATATTCAACTGTTGTGACTCTTTCAAAAAGAGCTGGATTGCAAATCGGGCATAGTCTGTATCCACACCAATCACCCCGACCCATGTCCACTGAAAATAATGCACAAGTTTTGCTAAAGCTTTGATTTGAAATAGATCACTTGGCATGGTCCGCATGAATGCTGGAAACTCTTTCTTGTTACTGAGACAAGAGCAGGATGCAAAATAACTCACCTAAAGCAGGAAAATGCAACAATTCAGTAATATTGGCAATTGCATAAAAGTGTAATAAATAAATAAATAAATTATATATATATATATATATATATATATATATATATATATATATATATACACACACACACACACACACACACACACACACATATATATAATATAATATATAAGATAATGTTTTACTAAAGGTATTTTGAAGCAGCCTAGGCTTCTCAGAACCGCCATAGATATTCCTGATGATGCCTCTCCCACAACTACAGGGCTAGGCTGCTTTCGTGTATCTTCACAGCTCTGTCCACTGTCCTTATCTGGTTGTCCATTGACCAGGAGAAGAGACCTTTTCACAGACACTGGTATATCATCACCGCTGTCCCTGATGTGGTAGCCCAGAGACAGGTTTGGTAAAAGATCTTGTCGTTGGTTTATTTCTCTTACAGCAAAGATCATTGTCTGCATCCACCTCAAGGCTCGAGGGGTAAAACTGCAACATATTTCACATACATTTAATCAATTACAAACAGCTATGCAACAAAGAAGAAAAGAAAAAAAAACAAGAAAATAACTGAAGAGACAAATAATGTAAAACATCTTTTTCTTACAAAACACATATGAGAATTCAAAAGTATAACACACAATTTATATGTGGTTGGAGTAGGTTTGGTCTTATAAGAAGAAAGCGATGAAATAGGACTGAAATGTAAAGGAAAGAGCCCTCCCAAAACCACATCTCCCCCCTGGTAAAAGGTGTTTGTATCATCATCTCCCTGAAAGACACACCTAACCTTGCTATTATACTGACTCTGTACACTAAGGTACATCAGAAACCAAACCATAAGGAGTGTTGCACATAACAGTGCCATAATTGACACAGACAAATGAATTCGTCATAACTGTGTACAGAATTTATAAATACTCTCTGATTGAAGGTTGGACTTCAGAGGCCATGTGGGAACAAACAAGCCAATAGCAAAACCTGCATACAGTCTTTTACTGTATATACCAAGAGACTGTCAATGTAATCATCTCTTCTTTGAGATATTGGTGATACACAAACCATTATCAAATATATAACCAAGACCATTATCAAATATTCTCATCTCTCCAACACAGTGGTTTTAGCAGAGACTCAAGGGTACCTTGAACTGCAAGCATCATTAACAATCAGGGATGTTTTTGAAATGTCGCTATAATTGTCTATAGCGTTTGTATTCAGTACTTGTTGCTTAAAAGTTACGGTAAAACAGGAAGTCCGTTCCAAGGGATTTTTACTTAAATAAGCTTCCTGCTAAGCAAAGGATAAAAATTTTTTGGTAACATTTTTTTTAGATAGTTCACTTTAAATACTTATTAATAACTAACTGTAAGTTACTTTGCAAGGGCGAGGCAGTGGCGCAGTAGGTAGTGCTGTCGCCTCACAGCAAGAAGGTCGCTGGTTCGTACCTCGACTCAGTTGGCTTTTCTGTGTGGAGTTTGCATGTTCTCCCTGCCTTCGCGTGGGTTTCCTCCGGGTGCTCCGGTTTCCCCCACAGTCTAAAGAAATGCATTACAGGTGAATTGGGTAGGCTAAATTGTCCGTAGTGTATGAGTGTGTGTGTAAATGTGTGTGTGGATGTTTCCCAGAAATGGGTTGCGGCTGAAAGGGCATCCGCTGCGTAAAAACTTGCTGGATAAGTTGGCGGTTCACTCCGCTGTGGCGACCCCTGATTAATAAAAAGACTAAGCTGACAAGAAAATGAATGAATGAATGAAAGTAACTTTGCAAATACATGTCATCTATTCAACTAATGCAGTTTTAGTAGATTGTCTGCTTATGCTCCACCAAGCTAGTCAAAAGATCAATCATAAAGTTTATCATTAACTGTTTGTAACCATTTGATTTCATTTAATTTGATTTTATATGTAGTCAGATTTAATAAAATCTTTCTTATTAGATGTATTAGATGTAATCAGTTAAAACAGGAATATGGTATAAATATAAATTTTTCATCTTAAAATTGTTGCCAAAAAATGGTTGTCTGATGCGGAAAAGCTTATTCATGCTTTCATGACCTCTTGATTAGATTATTGTACTGCGTTACTAGATAGTTGCCCTGCTGGCCTAATTAACAAACTTCAGCTAGTTCAAAATGCAGCTGCTAGAGTGCTTTCTAGAACAAAGAAATATGATCATATATTACCTCAGTTCTTTTATCATTGCATTGGCTTCCTATTAAATATTGTATAAGTACAAAAAAATACATTGACTACCTACAAAACCCTGATTGGTCAAAATCAACTATAGATCTTTACGGCTAGATCTAAACATAAAACACAAATTCGAAAATCCAAATGCTCTAAAGGATTGTAAAGGCTCCTACACACTGGAACGCTTTTCGTTTGCGTTCATCGTCAGCGTTTTACGAGTCGTTTTTCGCATTCAAACCCAAACGATTTTCACTGGCGTCAAGCAGAAGAGTTTGCAAAATCACAGTGAATATTAAACCACACTGAACTGAACTAAATTGAACTTCAACACTGAAAACTGGACTGACACCGTTTTAGTTTACTATAATCTTCTATGTGAAGCTGCTTTAACACATCTAAATTGTAAAAGCGCTATAGAAATAAAGATGAACTGAATTGAATAAATCTTGCTGTAGAAATAGATACACCCAATCAGTTACATTTTTATGAGATTGGTTTTCTTAAATGTGCCCAGTAATGAAAATCTGGGTATACCAAGGCATAGCAGAATAATGAAAGATCAGTATATCGAAATGGGCATAGCCTACTGTGAGCCTCAGACACCAGTTCCACTGTGTGAATTCCACAAGTGTGAAACCATAATTGACAACGGGCGAATCAGTGGACAAAACAAACAATGACAAGTCATTTCATTTCTTAATATTTTACATAAAAAGTCAATTAAATTTGGTTGGCTACTTGGGTACATACAGAGGAGTAATTTGTTGATAGTAAGGAAAGAAATTTTTTTTTCCAGTGAATATGGTCATCACCACTTTAAAAAATAAATGGAAAGGATGCAATAAAGAAAAAGCATGCTCTAAATCATTCTTCTTAATCTGATTTGTGCAAAAAACTATATTACAGCGACAAGAACAAGCTCTAAAATGTAAAGTCTAAAGTGAGAGAAGTTATTAATATGTTATTATTATTAAATGTTAATATTAATGATCATAAACATGAACTGCGTTGTATGATAACGGCATCACTGTGTCTTGTCTGCGATTTTTTTTCTCATCGAAGAACAGATAATTCATGTTATCGCTGTTTCCCCAGACAGGTTTTCAACCACAGTGTCCACTTTTGTTTCTTCTTGCCACAAACAATACAGTATCACTATAGCAGGCCCCGCGCCAGGATGTCATAACTGAGAAGGCATTTTAATCCCATATGGGGGGTACTTGACCTGATGACGGATTTTGTTCCCTCTTATTCCTTTCATTTAGGCTATTTATTCACGTATTTATTACTTTACATTACTGCCTAAGTTACCGACTTAAGGCAGTAAAATACTTTTTTATAGTAATAATAATATGCACAGTTTACCCATGATTTTATTAATGAATGTTGTGCAATGATACTGTTTATATAAACAAAGACAGATCATGGCTTCAGTGCCAAAGGAGTGCTTTAAATAATATTTTATTCTCCTTATTCATAATTAATATTATCATTCAGCCTACCTGCAGTGCATGTGAGAGGTTGATTTGTAACAAATGCACTTACTCACGCACTATACCCATTTAATTAATAACACCGTAAACTTGACTTAATAATTAGTTTTATTTATATTAATGAATATAATAAATTATGATATTATTTATAGTGAGGACTACTGTGGGACTGTGCGGTGTCCAACTAATTAAAAAAACAAATTAATCCCTTTCTAAAAATGTATGTGAAAATGACTGGCAGTTGCATCATGGTAAAATTATTTTAACTGCAAAATTATTTAGCATTTTTCCCATTTAAAGCTCAAGAGAGTTGTATTTAAAGAATTAGTTAACCAAAACATGACATTTATTATGCCTTTATGTCTCCCACTTCTACCATATGAGTTTAGAATGCGTCTCCGCCGCCGCATGTCGTACCCTGACCTGATGTGGGGACCAGACCTCTGGTCTATTGCTTTAATTTCACAATTTTTATAATTTAATATCTTTTTTCACATTCTAAATTACATAAATGTGTGTTCTGAAGGTTTGAATGACAGGAGTGTTAGTAATTAGTGAAAGAAAAAAATTACTTCAAAGTGAACTTCTATCACTGATTGTTTTTACAGCATAATTGACCCAACCTCCAGCACCACCGCTACATCGACATTTGTTGGCGAGTTATCACCCCGGTGGTAAAACATTGTCACCGTCACAGTCCTAAAATGAACTGCCAGTCCCCCTGAACCAAAGCCCTCTGACCAACTGGTGTTAGGTAGGTGATCTGTCCGGAAATAATGGCAGGTGCACTAATTAACTCTACCATCTGTCACAGGTGCAAAACAAATTGTCACAATTCACTATCTGCTTGGTTCCTTATTTTATTTCCCATTAACCCTGGCAACATTCTCAAGTAGCACCAGTTCTGACCAGCATGCCCTGCAACCCAAATGTCCACAAGAATTTATTTGTTGTGATCATGCAAATGGCTGTACCTGTGCTGCTCCCTCATGGACTCACTTTTAAAAAGAATGGCAAGTGTTTTTTTATTGAATTGTATTGGACAAAACACTCATTTCCTGCATCATCAATTGGTAAACAAATAGAAACTGGCTCAAAGTAAGTTAAAGTTCTGCTTAAATACAATTTTCCCCTGTTTTGCTGTTTTCAATATTTGAGTGATGCAATTCTGAAGAAGATAATCTGTTTTAATCTCGTCTACCACTCTTTCTATATCAGTCAAAGGAAATCCAAGCAACATCAGTTTTCTTTCAGTTTACTCAGCAAATTTGGCAGGCTGATGTCACATAGTTTCTGGAGTCCTTAATTGATTGCTTAAATAACAGATCTAGCAAGCAGCAACTTAGCTTGCAACTTGGGATGAAACTGGGCTAGATTTTTTTTAGAAACATGTCTTTAGCTACATCTTCATGACAAATCTCTTCTACAATCATTTCACTAGAGGCAGCAGCCTCATACCAGTCCTCAGAATGGACCACAGACTCCTGAGTAGTTCATTGGGTCACACTTTACAAAAAGGTTAATTAGTTAATGTTACTTAATGCATTTATTAACATGAACAAGCAATGAACAATACATTTAATACTGTACAAATACTGTTCATGTTAGTTAACGTTAGTTAATGAAAATACAGTTGTTCATTGTGAGTTCATGTTAACTCACGGGGCTTTAACTAATGTTAACAAGCATGAGTTTGGATGTTAATAATGCATTAGTAAATGTTCAATTATGATTAATAAATGCTGTACAAGTGTTGTTCATGATTAGTTCATGTTAGTAAATGCATTAACTAATAAACCTTTTTGTAAAGTGTTACCGTTCACTGTTCTCTTGTTCCCAGAAATCTGTTTCAATTAGACTGTTCTCTGACTTTCCTTTATGACATCTTAACAAATTTGATGTGAATGTTATCAAGACAGTAAATGTATTTTTGCACTGTTTAAATGGAAATATTACTGCTCTACCCTCTTTCAAATGTGTCTTAAGATGACAAAGTAATCTAGTCAAATTATCACAATGCACAGTGCAACATTAAATGTGAC